CAAGTAGAAGTCATTCCAGATATTTTAGAAATGTCTGTGTAAAGTTCTCATCCACCGCCGTGTGGATAATCAAAATTGTACAGTTTGCTAAAACTAGCCATGTTATTTTCCATATTTTGCCAATTAATGTAAATGTGTGATGTGTTAAACTTTGATTCTGTTAATAAATGACCGCATTCATTTTGATGGGTCAAAGATAATTAACGTCTCACGTTACATTTCTAAATTCAATGCACATTATATACAGTCCAGAAAAATGAAAGAATCCGTTTAATTGATGAATATATCTCATGCATATGTTCATCTACAACAGGTAGGGTTACACAAGCTGCTAAGAACTAAGCACTTTAAACAAAGACACCATTAGTAAACAGAATTAGTTGCGTATCGAGTCCCTGTAAACCAGTGGTTTCCAGCTGTGGTTAACACACACACTCAGTCTGTCTTTTTCCATCAGCTGTCCTTACCAAGGTGACCATGTGCTTTTATTCACAGTCAGCGCACAAACTTAGCTCTAAAACAAAGCCTTGTATTATAGGTTTTTTGTTTAAGTGGCGCTTTTTTGTTACAGTTGAACTCTCACTTTTTTATTTTATGAACTGTATAAGAGGCTTTTACCATTCCATCCATAAGTAATTTAACAACAAAGATAAAGTTGTGCTTTTCATAATGGAAAACAATTCATACTCCGCATTTATTTACTCAGCATTAGGTCATCCAGGACATCTGCAGTCAAGATAGATTTTATTTACTGTTACAAAATCATAAAAAAAAAAAATAATAATAAAACTGAGAAAAGGCTGAGGTTGTATTTGAAATTCAAATGGAAAGATGCTGTGCTTTCTACATTTTCATTTCATTGCAGAGATGGCATCCATCCCTCTTTGGACGGAGCCGCTCTTCTTTCTAGAAATATGGCTGATTTTGTTTATGCCCCAAATTATTGACAACCCAGGGTCCAGTCCAGGAAGCAGAGGTGTAGTCCTCCACACCTCTCTGCTGCTTCTCCTCTGTTACCCACCCACACCCACATTGAAACAGTGTCAACTCGCCCACGGCTCAAATTAAATAAACCAAAAATCAGCTCTAAAAATATAAACCATAAAAATCTGATTAAAATAAACACAGTTACTTTACCAGAGCAAAATCATAAAATCATTAAATGTGGATTATTGAACATCAGATCTGTTTCCTCTAAATCCCTGTTAGTGAATGAACTGATAACTGATCATCATATTGATTTATTGTGTCTGACAGAAACTTGGCTACAACAGGAGGATTTTGTTGGTATAAATGAATCCACTCCTGTTAAGTATTTAAATGTTCATGTTCCTAGAACAACTGGCCGAGGTGGAGGAGTAGCTTCTATTTTTCAGTCAGGATTATTGATTAATGCCAAACCAGTTATTAGTTATGATTCTTTTGAATCACTGTCCCTCAGTCTTTCTCATCCAAAATGGAAATCAGAAAAGCCACTTTTACTAGTTGTTATATATCGTCCACCAGGAGCTTACTCTCAGTTTTTGTCTGAATTCTCTGAATTTTTTTATTTTTTATTTTTTGTGATGGCCTCCCTTCTCCCCTTACAGCCATCCTCTCCACACCATTATTATGAAATATTTATTCTAGTGACTATCTAGTGTAGGTGTTTTTTTTTTTTTTTTTAATAGGATAGAAAGAAAGAAAAGACAAAGAAAGACTCCAAAATATAAGAAATATACACAAATAGAGCACACGGCAAAACACCCGGCCACTGTCTGTTCACCTGCAAAGAACATGACAAAACACAGCAACAAAATACATATGTATAAAGAACTTAAAATATTCATTACTTTGCAGTAAGTTTCCATAAATATATATGCCCATACCTACGCCTATATACATACATACATACACATTCTCCGAATTCTTAAATAACTTACTACTAAATACTGATAAAACCATCATAATGGGTAATTTCAATATTCATGTAGATGTTGAAAGTGATAGTTTAAGCATAGCCTTTAATAATTTAAGAGTGTCACTTGGTTTTACCCAAAACGTCCGCACATCTACTCATTCTTATCATCACACTCTTGACCTAGTTCTGACCTATGGTGTAGAGATTAAGGACTTGGTAATATCCTGATGCATGCTCAATAATCCAGGTAGAAAAATCTAAAAAATGGTTCCTGTTCCTGTTGCCATCATTAAACAGGGGTGGAGCCTCCGGGTTCAACTGTCCCCCTCTTACAATGCTGTGATTGCTAGTATCACTCAGCCCTCTGTGAACAGTAAACAGCCATCAGGTGCTAATGATCCATTGTTAGGCTGATGGTCCTTCTTGAGCATGTGATCAGCTGGTTTTGGTTGTCAGCAGCAAACTGGTTGATCCACTCTGAGAAGGTGCTATTTAAGAGACTGAGCTGAAAACAGCACCTCAGACTGAAGAAGTCTCTCAGATGAGAGACGAAACGTTTCTACATTTTTTTTGTTGTTTTGCTTTGTTTTGTTTTTTTGAATGTCCAGAGGACCAGATTTAACTTTTTTAGACTTGGTAATAGTTCCTCAAAATCCTGTTCTGTCCAACCATTTTTCAATAACCTTTGAGTTTACATTAAATGACTACACAGTCACTGAGAGTAAATTTCATCTCAGCAGGTGCTTATCAGAAAATGCAGTAACCAAATTTAAACAATCTCTTCCATCAATGTTTTCCTCTGTCTTGCAGAGTAATGCATCAGAGAACAGAGACTTAGATCATCTAGTTGATCATCTTACAACTTCAATGCAAACCGCACTTGATAAAATTGCTCCACTGAAAAAGAAAGTAATCAATCAGAGGAAACTGGCTCCTTGGTTCAATTCTGAGTTACGTACTTTAAAGCAGCATCTAGAAACCAGGAGAGAAAATGGCGCTCTACTAATGTTGAAGAATTTTATTTAACTTGGAAAGATAGTCTGCTAACATATAAAAAAGCTCTCCGTAAAGCTAGAACTTTATATTACTCATCTTTAATAGAGGAGAATAAAAATAACCCTAGGTTTCTGTTTAGTACTATTGCTAGACTAATTAAAAGTCCCATTTCTGTTGAACCATGTATCCCTACAACTATAAGTAGTGATGACTTCATGAGATTCTTTATAAATAAAATTACACTACCTTCCCCCCCCCCCCCCCCAAAAAAAATAAATAAATAAATAAAAGTCACCATCTGGATTTAACTAAGCAAACAGGTACGAGCCTCCTATTGGATAATTACTACGTGGGTGATTATCTTTCAGCTGCAACAAGTTATTTAACCCCACCTGGTGCAATGAGTTGCTTCTCATTTCTTAAACAACCATGTGGAAAGACACATCGTGTGTTCGTGGAAAAGATGTCAGTCTGTTTGAGAAGGGTCAAATCATTGGCTGCATCAAGCAGAGAAAACATCTAAGGAGATTGCAGAAACTACTAAAATTGGGTTCAGAACTGTCCAACGCATTAAAAACTGGAAGGACAGTGGGGACCCGTCGTCTTCGAGGAAGAAATGTGGCTGGAAAAAAATCCTGAATGATCGTGATCTGTGATCACTTAAACGTTTGGTGAAATCAAATAGAAGAAAAACAACAGTAGCACTCAGGGCTGTGTTTAATAGTGAAAGTAAGAGCATTTCCACATGCACTATGTGAAGGGAACTCAAGGGATTGGGACTGAACAGCTGTGTAGTCTTAAGAAAACCACTAACCAGTGAGGCCATCTGGAAACAAAGGCTTCAATTTATTAGGGAGCATAAAGATTGGACTCTGGAGCAATGGAAGAAGGTCATGTGGTCTGATGAGTCCAGATTTACCCTGTTCCAGAGTGATGGGGCATCAGCGTAAGAAGAGAGGCAGGTGAAGTGAACCTTACATTGCAGCTGCTTCAGCCTTGATTGTTGCTGAAGCAAATTAATTAACCTTTTCTATTCAGAATGCAAACAAGCCGTTTCCAATAGGTTAACACACAGACTTTTGCCGTTCAAGAAAAGCACAGTGTTCTGAAGTGGCAGGGACTGTGCTTTAAATCACATACAGGACTCCTGAGGAGTTCAGCTCATCAGCAGCTTTCTCTCTGTGAGGTAGTGTCTGCAGTTAAGGAGTGAGCAATCATTACATCACCTCAGTCTGTACTACAGTACTGTACACTTACTCTCAGAGCATATCATTACAGATTAATTACAGCTGAAAGCAGGATGGGTTTACTGTGATTCAGCACACACTGTGCATTTCTGTTGCTTACATTCAAAACTAGACTTTTCTGAACAATACAAGAGCTAGTGGTTGATGGGAAAACCTGTGACGATTTTAGTATGTTTACAGTTTGATAATGTGTAGGAGCCTTCATAACCATTAAAACATTTGACAAACTGCTGATAATAAATCAGACATATCCTTTGTGCTCTTCTTCTATCCAAGTAGCATTTGAGCCGATTTATATTCAGTTCTCATACTTTCGTTTCATTGTGAAAATTACCTTTTGGATGGCTGGTGAGAGCTTTGTGATGCAGAGGGAGTCTTTGACTCAGGGGCGTGCTGCTGTCTGTTTGGGCTGCTGAATTTCAAACTCTTCTGGTCTCTCCTCCTCCCGTCTTCTGATATGTGGGACGTATTTTCAGTCTCCCGTCAGGCATAGAATGATTTTCTGCGTTGAAATTGTCAGCAACAGTTTTATCTTCAAGCTAGACCGTGTAAAGCTGTTTGAGAGATACTTCCTAGTGAACTGGTGTGTGCAAATCACACAGCTACACTCCACTCACTTGTTTGTTTTTTCAAAGAGAAAGCAAGAGAAGCTGTGTTGGCACGTTCTACAGAAAGTGTCCAAATGTTGACAAACCATATGAATGTCTGGTTTTAGGAATGATTGGTTTCTGCTCAGTGTAATTATCCAGGAAGTTCTGAATGAAACTTCCTCTTGGTTTGCTGCTGGGATTAGCTGGGACTGAGAATCTTCACCAGCTTGTTGCTGGGACTTATACCTTCTGTGTTGCTGTCAGGGGTTGCTGACTTCTGGAGTGGAGTTTGAGTCTCTGCCTGCAGCACTTTCCCTACCAGCAGAGTCTGGCCTGTACCCCGTCACTCTGGTTGGGGTTCCACGCACAGCTGGCAACATCACCGTCAACGGTCAGTTCAACTCAGAAGATCTTCGTTGACACAATCATGCTTCACATTCATCTGAAACTATGTTTTAAATGTTCCATAGCTTACAGCTTTGCCTCTGTTTTCTGTTCTACATTTGGTTGCAGGTTATCACACGTCAATGTTTGGTGTGACCAGTGACTGTCTGCTTGAGGACCTGCCAGCTGTGAAGACCAGCGGCTGTTTAGTGGAAGTGATCCCCTCTCTCCCTCGCCTCCAGCTAAGCACATCACTCCCACGGTTAGAACAACCACATATCACTATTCTTGTTTCAAGAATAGTTTTTCCTCCAACACCCATAGCATCTTTGCACTACCTATGGTAATAATGTATCAGATCATGACAAGTCAGATATAAACCTTAGGCCAGAACAGCAAAAAAATAAATAAATAAATAAATAAATAAATAAATAAATAAATAAGTAAATAATGCGATGCTCTTGGAGCAATGTAGTGAAATATGAAGCTATGAGTGATACGATTAAGGCTGCTCTTCCAGCCTTTATTAATGTGTAAACTAGCCTCAGCTAGTGATTTTAATTTACCAAAGAACTAAGCATACCTATCTCAGTTAAAATGTCCCGTCCATCAATAACTTCCTGCGGGATCAATCAAATTCCGTCTTATCTTACCTGGTTTTAAAGCATTCCATACCACAGAAACGCTTGTTTCTCAGGTATTGATTCAAATTTAGTGTGCTAGTAGCTGAAAGTAATCCTTAACAATTACTCTGAGTACCAATGAATCATGTAAGATCTGTTTATAAAATGTTACTGGTGCATGCTCAGTAATCCAGGTAGATACATCTAACAAGGTTGAGACAGGTCCTCTGGATGGATTCTTCTTTGTTGAAATGTTTCATTTTATCCAAAAGACTTCTTCGGTGTTCAGTACAAGTTCTTTTTCAGACTGAAGAAGTTTTTTGGATAAAATATGAAATGTTTCAACAAAGAATAATCTGTCCAGAGGACCTGTCCCAACCTTGTTAGATTTCCATTAGCTAGTCAGTTCTGCTTGTCTGCTAGAAACATTTCTTATGAATCACAGGGTGTGTTTTATTTTTTATTTTACTTTCAGAAAACAAACAGTTCAAGATGGCTTCAACATCTATTTGATATTAGACAATATAAAAATGGCTATACCCACCCAAATTGAGCTAAAAATACCAAAAGTAGCTGAGGATTCCCTGTAAAATATATAAATTTTTTAAAAACATACCCTTAAAAATACAGAACACTAAACATTGTGCAGTGTTTTTGTTCCCCATCATGAAGCGAAAGGAAGGTGAATTGGACATACCATCAGTCCATCCGTGCATGTTGTGAGTTCGATAACTTGAAAAATTATGCCTGTGTGTGTGTGTGTGTGTGTGTGTGTGTGTGTGTGTGTGTGTGTGT